CGAAAACTTGGTAAGTCATGTGATACAGATGTTCTCCATCTCATTGCAATTTTGTTTTGTTCTTAAAACACAAGAAAAGAAATGACCAAGTACCAAGACATTTTGTTTTGTTCTTGTAAGGATTCAGGAGATATTTGTATTCTGGTACATGAAAGAAATTGCAAAGCCTTCTTTTTCTATCTCTCCTTAATTCTATATACTTTATAAAACTCCTTTATTAAATCTTACCAATGCTTCTCCTTATTGGATGTAAAAATACCATGAAAACCCTTGTCATCTTTTATTGTGTGTGTATGTGTATGTGTGTGCTTGCTTTATGGGTTTAAGCATTTTCTATTGCAAAGATATAGTCATCAAGACATGGGGGAGCCCACAACCAGTCATAATTATTTTTAATGCAACCAAGCATAAGAGAAACAACTGAGTCAAGAGACAACAGACATGGAACAGGGCTATGAGCAATTTGAAGTCATCAGGAATATTTCTTTATACCAGAGAGATGTAAGTTTCAATAGCAGATGCAAAAAAGCAAAGATAAAAAGGTCAGTGTTAACAGTTTTTCACTCCTTCTGAAACTAACATCCAAATGCATTACAATGGTATGATCCCAGTCAGCAACATAGTACAAAATGCTCAGCATTTAATGTCATTTATTGGATGTGCAAGACTCTTAGTATCCTTTGACTTAACATTGCTGTTAACTCTAATAGTTTTTAAAATGGACATTATATTCCCCATGGGAAATTGCCTGCCAGGTAGCTAACATTACTTTGCAAAGGTGACCAAACTATAAAATGTCAGAATCAGTATTCTACCTAAACCTCTCTGACTCTAAATCTCATGGCTCTAAACTTCAATGGAAGGCTGTCTCGTTCCCATCTCTCTTCCAAAAATGTCTTCGTGTGTACACGTGTTCGTTCATTTATCTTCTCACTACTGTGATGTTGGACTGCTGTCTTTCCAGTAATATAGGCAACAGTGAAACATTTCTTACAGTGTTGCATCAAAACAAGTTATGTCTGACTTACTTTCGGCTACTGGAAGGAAATGACTTTCCCTGGAACATTTTAGTTCCTGGGCGATGAGGCCCCAGGAATCCACTAGGCTAGCAGTCTGTCATTTGATCCTTATGTTTTTGAAGGGCAGTTATTTTTTGAATATTTTCCATGCCTTTCCCATGCCATTTTTGGTACTTTACAAGTGAGGCAGTGGAGGCTTAAGAACACTGAATGAGGTCTTTAAAGAGTTGGTAACTGGTGAGATGGACGTACAAGTTTGCTTGTTGATTATCTCATTGTGGGTGGCCCATGTAGAAGGGGCATGGGTCCTATCAATTCTTTAATATGAACAAAAGTTTGCCTGTAAAATTGAAATTTTCTTCCTTTCAGATATACTTTGTTCTCCAATGGATTTCTTCTGAAACTCTCAGTACCCTGAGTATGAATTCTATGGTCATTTCTCACTGGCTTTTCTTGTACCTGCCAGTGAAAAACATAAGCTAGCCAAATGTTTCTGATTAGGGAAAGAAACATGGGATGACCTTTTATACAATAAACAAATGCAGAATGAAACTAATGTGGGATTATAAAAGAGGTAACTGCCGTGGCTGGCTACCTCTCAAGACGTGTGTCTTGAGGGTTCTAGCATGCATGCATGCATGCACTCAGCACCTAAACAAAATTGTGCCATTTTGGGGGACAGACAAAGAGTTGAGCACTGGCAGGGAACAGTGAGAAAACAATAACACACACACACACACACACACACACACACACACACACACACATGTCTTAGTTGAGTTGGCATCCTCGTGGGTGAGGACAGCCAGCAACTTCAACCACAAACAGTGATTAAGCCATGAGAGAGGCTAGAGACTGTGGGTGTAGAGAAAGAAGAGGCACAGAGTGGCAGAGCATGGTCAAGGAAGACCTCATTGTGCAGATGACATAATGTTGAGCCAATAAATTGGATAAAAGAATGTTTTGGGCAGAATTAACAAAGTAGTGTAAACATTGAGTTTTAAACTTCAATGGGCTATTAGTGAAGGGAAGATAAATCAGATTTTCTAAATTCACTCTGCAATGATTTTCCTGAGAACTGGATTGTGCCTCTGGGTGAGGCTGTCTGATCTTCACCCCCTCTTCCCTCTCATTGGATTATCCACTGTTCTATTTTTAAAAGCATTTTTATTGTTATGAAGAAGGTGATGTACAGAGGGGTTCCAGTTACATAAGTCAGGAAAAGAGTACATTTCTTTTTGGACAATGTCACCGCTTCCCTCACTCTCTCCCAGTTTTTCCCCCTGTCCCCACCTACAAATTGTTCAGTTCACTTTCCACATAGTGTCCAGCAAGTCCACAATGCTGCATTCATTCACCCTTTGCCCCATCATTTCTTTGCACCATGTGCACTCCCAAAACTAGATAAATAAGCAAACAGAACAAAAAGAAAAGAAAAACGTAAGGAAGGTGGTTCCAGCTAAAGAAACTATTTCCTTATTCTCTTCAATATGACTGATAGCAGAAGCTCTAAAAAATAGGAAGAATGATATTATGGCTAAGAAGACTCTGAAGGAATTAGCTATATCAGAAAAAAGTAGCCTTAGAAGCACTGAGATCCTAGCTCAGCTCTGCTGCTGCTTACCACTGTGATCTCTGGGGTCTCCAGGCTTTTTCCAGAAGCTCTGAGTTTCCTTACATGCAGCAACCTCATGGGATCAAGTTGAGAAACAAAGATAAGACCTCCAGCACTTCATTTCTTTAGTGCTTTCTTCTAAAACCATAGTTTAAAATAGAGCAAAAAAAAAAACTGATTCTCCCATGCTAATTTTTCCTTCATTTAGATTTGTTTCTAACTAATAACAATAAGTGATACTCTGTATGCTATGTTTATTTTTAAACTTTTAACATAGGATAGTATTAATTTCCTAGAACAGTGGAAAATGACTAAAATACCTCGCTTTAAGTAATAAGCACTGTACTTAGAAAACAGTGAATGTTTGGTAAATAGTAGGCAGCACTGAAAAGCTTGAAAGCATTTTGCAAGGTCGTGTGTTCATTTGCGAGCGCATGGGTTCATGGGGAGAGGGCCGAGGAAGGGCTTAGACTGGCAGGAATGATCTGTTTTCTACGTATAGCAAAACAGGACTTTTTGCTCCGTGCTTTCTTTTTTGTTGCTGTCGTTCAGCTTCTGATTTCTATATTTGAGATTAGTTGTTGTAATACACTGTAACCCTCAAAAAGCTTCATCGTAATGTTGAAAGCCTTGATTTTAGCCTCTAACCTGTGTAAAAACTCCCATCTGTTCAGCTTACCTGTATAAATCTGTGGATCTAGAATTTTAAAATGCATATTAATAATTATAATAAAAATGACATTGTCTTTGTGTTTTGTACTAACATGAAAGAGTACATGTACTGGAGTCCTCACTAGCCAATGTTCTTTTTCTAATGTTTCTGGGAAAAGAGAGAGAGAGAGACAGACAGACAGACAGACAGACAGACAGATACACAGAGAGACACACAGAGAGACATAGACACAGAGAGAGAGACAGAGATAGAGGAAGAGAGTTACAGAGCCAGAGGAAGAGAGAGGAGGTTAGAGGTTCCACATAAACAATAGAATCGGCTTTGATGGAGTGGGAAGGAGACAGGAGAGCCCTGTGCCTTACACAGTGTGGTAAGAAGGAATGGGCTAGGCAAGTGCGCCTAGATTTTACAAATATTTGATGCTCTCACTGAATTATGACTTCCTTATGTCATGCCCACAAACTTAACTCAGTCCCATTTGCTTTTCCTTAGGCCCTGCAGATTGTCTAGAAAACAGTAATTCTAACCAGATTTGAAGGTTTGGGACCCTGAGAGTACTGGTTTGAATAATGCCCATTCAAATTTAATTGTGTGGTCTTCAACAGGGTAGACACAATCATTCCTGTAGCTTAGACAGTCCATGTGGAAAATGAAAATATGCACATTTATGTCATTATTTTATGTCATTATTTTAAAAATTCAACATGATGAACATTTTAAAGCATTAAGTAGAGTGGCACATATTAAATGTCTAGTAAGTTCATATGATCGGCAATGCAGAGGGTTAAGAAATAGCTTTCAAATACTAAATACCTTGGTTAAAGTGAATTTTACATTAATTATATGATATATTTTACATTAATTATATGATATATTTCTTATTATTTCAGAATTGAGGAAACTTGAGATTGGATAGGCTTACTTACTGCAAAATATATCTGTGTGGGCCCAAGATAAGGTAATTCTATCTCTATAGGGATATGGATGGAAAAATACTCAAAGAGCATGCTTCTCTAAGGTGCCCTTCGTATGTACAAAGCCATAATTATATACTCTAATAGTCTTAGATTCATGTTAAACAAGGATTAATTTACAAGATTACTTCAGTCAAATTAATTGTTTTATATGTATTCTATATAATGAGAACCATAAAATATTCTTTATAGCATTGGAGAATTCTATAGATATTATTATTGTTGTTATATTTTCAGTTGTGAGCTTGAGCTCAGGGCCTGGGCACTGTCCCTGAACTCTTTTGCTCAAGGCTAGCACTTCACCACCTTGGCCACAGTACCACTGCTGGTTAACTAATGGTTAATTGGAAATAAGAGTCTCACAGACTTTCTTGCCTGGGCTAGCTTTGAACTGCTGTCCTCAGATCTCAGCCTCTTGAGTAATTAGGATTGCAGGTGAGAGTCACCAGCACTCAGATTTCTATAGTCATTATTATCAAAGAGTAAGCTCAATAGATAAAATGATAAAATCATGTATTGCATGTACAATCGTATCAAGTAACATGTTATCATTGTATCCCTCCTTTTGCATTGATCTAGATTCTCCTAATGAAGAAAATAAACATTGTCCATGAGGACATTTTGTAAGATGTACTCATTGGACATGTTCTGATTGATTAAGCATAGTGATCTCATGCGAATTCTCATGTCTCTCCTCTCAGGTGAGATTCCCCACAACCATGGAGCTGTATAATACCACAGTGACAGAGTTCATCATGTTGGGGTTCACCACAGATCCTGTGAAGCAGCGAGTCCTGTTTGTGGTGTTCCTCCTGGTGTACACATTAACAATGGCAGGAAATTTCACCCTCATCGTGCTGATATGCAATGACCCCAGGCTCCACACACCCATGTATTTCTTCATTGGAAATCTCTCCTTTCTGGATCTTGGGCTGTCTTCTGTCTACACACCAGAAATCCTGATCACCTGTGTCTCTGAGGACAAGAGCATCTCCTTTGGTGGCTGTGTGGCTCAGTTCTTCTTCTCTGCTGCACTAGACTACACTGAGTGTTACCTGCTGGCAGCCATGGCTTATGACAGGTATGTGGCCATCTCAAAGCCCCTGCTGTATTCTCAGGCCATGCCTCTAAAGCTATGTGTATTCTTTGTAGCAGCCTCATACCTTGGCGGCTTTATTAACTCTGTCATCATCACCAAAGACACATTTTCCTTGCACTTCTGTAGTGACAATGTAATTGATGACTTCTTCTGTGACATCCCACCCTTGGTGAAGCTGGCTTGTGGCAAGAAAGATAGCTACCAAGCTGTCCTGTTCTTCCTCCTGCTGTCCAATGTCATAGCCCCCATTGTGTTCATCCTGGCCTCCTACCTGTTCATCATCGCCACCATCCTGAGGATGCGCTCCACCCAGGGCCGCCTCAAGGCCTTCTCCACCTGCTCCTCCCACCTGACCTCTGTGACCTTGTACTATGGCTCCATTCTCTACATCTATGCTCGCCCTCGATCTAGTTATTCTTTGGACAGGGACAAAATTGTTTCTACATTTTACACTGTGGTGTTTCCCATGCTGAATCCTGTGATATACAGTCTAAGGAATAAAGATGTGAAAGAGGCTTTGAATAAACTTTTTAAATAAAGATCATTTCCTTTAAAGAAGTACATAATTATTGGTTAATTATTGATTGAATTGTTTAAGTCTATCATAATACAACGTGCTTTAACATATTTTGACTTTTCATTTTTTAGTGTTCAGGAGAGGGAAGGTAATGATTTAGGATAATTTTAAAGATAAACTTTAGATATGAAGCTTGTGCATTTGAATTTTTTGTATAGTATTCTACATTGAAAACAAACACAAAGTAGTTTCTTTTGTCTTTCCTATAGTGACCTGAGATTTCACTGCTGTGGAGTGACTGACATATATATAATAAAAGCTCCATGTTGATGAACATCATGTTCTAATAAAAGAATAGTAATTATGTCAATACGCCCTTTGTGTTGTGAAAGTCTTCTCTTACTAATGATAAGAAAAAAATAAAATTACCACTTAAAATAATGTTAATATGTTTAATTGGTGTATTAGAAATGTACCTAAATATATCTTTAGTACATGCAGGGATGTATTATAAATACATGTACACAGATACTTACAATTCATAGTAAGAAAAAATAACTTATTTCATGTAAGTTTAGTGAGACTAGAAATACATATTATAAATGAATAAAACAATAGAGCTTATATTATGGAATATTAATTTTAAAAATTTCATTACTGGGTTAATGTATAAGCATTTTAAAACCCCTAATTATTATCAGATATGTTCATTTTAATTCTTTAATTCTAATATATTCAGATAAGCAAATGTGTGATCATGCATTAGTTCTAATATCTGAGGAATCTATAACTCCATAATGACTGTAATAATTTACATTTTCACGAATGATGCACATATTCTTTTAAACATATCCTGGGTAAACTTGATATCTTTCAGCCATTCTAAATGGTTATTACATAATAATAATATCTCCATGTAATTTTAAATAGACTAAAGATTAGGGAAGGATTAGAATTTATTTATTGTCTGTAACTGCTCTTTGAAAATTGTTAATTCCATGAACCAGTTTTTAATAAAGTTAATTGAGTTTTTCTTTGACTTTCTTATAGGTATATTAAGCTTTTTGATGTATGCCTTGTAAATATTTTTGTCTCATATTTATGATGATGCTTTTATTAAATCACTCTTCAATGCATTTTGAAATCAGAGATTGTGATACTTTCATATTTGTTGTTTTGGACAAGATAATTTTGGCTATTTCCAAAGATAATTTGCTATTTCCATATGAATTAAAGTTCCAAGATAATTTGGCTATTTCTCTGAGGTAAAATTTTTGTTTTTTAATTTCCACTTTTCTTTTTTATTTAATTGAAAACTGATAATGACATTTTATCAAAATTACTCTGAATTTATATACTTCATGTGGTAGAAAGGGATTATTTTCCAAACTATATACATAGCTCATACCAATTTTCAATTAATAATTACATTGGATACAACTTGATTAAATTCTCCAAAAAAGCAGTAAACCCTCAGAGTAGTTGAATGGGTTTAAAAGACTGAAGCAAATTTCTGTTCACCATATTCATCTCAAAGACTGAAAGTGACAGAGGAGTAAATGGCATTTTACCAAATGGAACCAAAGGGAGAACACGTAGTTACTCTCAGACCATGCAGACGCCAAGCAAAATATTGTGAAAGGAAGCACAGGAACCTAGCACATAATAACAGCATGGTCAGCTTATGAAGCTGCAACCATTGTAAATTTTTGTGTACTCAATACTTAAGTACCCAAATACATTACACTAGCATTAAATTACTTAAAGGAAGAAGTAGCTGCATCATAATAATTTTTTAAGGAATACACTATCCCATTTTCAACAATGGGTAGATAATAAGTACAGAATATTGATATAGGTGCATTGGATTTGTAGAATGCTTAAGATCAGAGGATCTAACATGTATCTACCTAGCATTTTTTCCAAAAAAAAAACATTTTTTTTCAAATAAACATAGAATATTCTCTAGGATACATGTTATGTTAGTCCATAAGACAAGTCTTACTAAATTTATCAGACGGAAATAATAAGTACTAATTTAATTACAAAGTATTAGCATAGAAATCCCATTGTGACAATGAGATGTACAAAACACTATGTTGAAAACGAACTTTACAACTTCGGCGGGGGGTGGAGAGAGTTGTGGAGGTGGGAGGGAAGGGATGGTGGGGGAAAACAAAGGAGGAAGCAACAATGCTCAATAGGAGATGTACTCATTACCTTGCTCATGTAACTGTAACCCCTCTGTACAGCATTTTTCCAATAAAAAACATACAAAAAGAGAAATCAGTAAAAGGAATAATTTTGGGTAATTCACAAGTACATAGGAATTAATTGTGATGCTCTAGAAAAAAAAACAGAGTTAAAGAAGAGCTTTTCAGAAGAGAAGCTGGCATAGTGGTTGTCAGCTATTTTAGCTATTCAAGAGCTGAGATGAGGATGGCATGGATACAAGATCAGTCCAGGCAGAAAAGCCTCCATCTCCAAAATAACTAGATCAAATCAGGGCATGGAGGCATAGGTCAAGCGGTATAGAATAAGCAATCATAATCAGCATAATATCTTTGGTTCAAACACCAGTACTGACCAAAAAAATTAAAACAATAATTTAAAAACATTTTTATATAAATGGAAATGAAGGTACAACAAACCAAATTCATGGAACACAAGAACAACAGCTCTAAAGAGGCTATCTGTCAAAACAAATCACTACATCCAAAAGAAGAAAAGTTACAAAGAAACACTTCAAGGAAATAAAAAAGGAATAAATTAAGCCTAAATTTATCAGAAGGAAAAATAAGTATCCACGTAGATATGACGGAAAATAGTTACTAGAAAAAATAGAAAGATCCCTGATATACGCACTTGGTTGTTGAATTGATAAAGTAAAATATAAAAACTTTCAGACAGGTTTAGGAAAAAGATGGCAATTCAAAGTAACAAGACCAGAAATGAGGAGAGGTAGTACAATTACCATTGCAATGTGAAACATTCAAAGAGGAAAATTTGGAGTTGACACACTAATTAACCTAGGAAAATGGTTAAATGTCTGGACATGTTCAATTTATTCCCATAGAACCATGAATCATAAAAATAATCTGAAAAAAATATAACTATCAAGGGCCTCATGACCTTACTGCTATATCCTATCATACATTATCTATACCTAGTTTTCTTTTTAGGTCCAGTAATACATGTTTTATAAAAACTTTCAGTGCATATATATTTCAAATGATTGTATATTCTTTGTAGATTTTGGATATTAATTCTTTGTCCTCTGGTTAGATGTTGAAGATTTTCACCCATTAAATGATTTGTCTCTTGCATCTGGATATTGTTCTTTAGTCGTGCAGAAACATTGTAACTTGACAAAGTCCCAGTTGTTAATTTTTACTCTTTCTGGTCCTATTCAGAAAAGTAATTACCTGTGCCTGGATGATCCAGTGTTTTTCAGTAGTAGTTTCCAAGTTTCAGATTTTATTTTAAGATCTTTGCTCCATTTGGTGATCACTTTTGCATAAGGTAAAACATTAGGGTTTAGGGAGCTTTGTGGTGTTCTGCGATGCTTTCTCTAGTCATTCTAACTTCCTTAATTTCCAGAAAGCTCAGAAGATGAGTAACCCATAATACTTAGACAGAGGTAGTGATGTTCAAGTCCACATTTTAAGATGTAACCCTCATTCTATATCATGGTACGTGGTTGTATGCATGTATGCATACACTATATATATATATATATATATATATATATGCACACACATTGAATTCAACTTGAAAGTAAGTTTGACAGTGTTTTATTTAGGCTTATCAAGAACACAGGTGTATAATCTCATTGTGTGTGTGTGTGTTTGTGTGCACGTGTGTGTGTGCATGTGTGCACACACGGGTACACTCTTGCACTTACTTGAATTCATGTCAAGGTTAAGTGGCAGCATCCTTTCTCTTTCTCATTATGAAATACTTTGAGAAGCATTCTTCTTTTTAATAATTGTATTTTATTGTAAAGATGCTGTACAGCGGGGTAACAGTTACATGAGTAAGGTAATGAGTACATTTCTTGTGGAGCTTTGTTACCCCCTCCTTTGTTTTTCTCCTACTATCCCTTCCCTCCTCCACTTCCTCACCCTCCCACAAGTTGTAAAGTTCATTTCCAACATAGTTTCTTTTGAGTATCATTGTTGCAATGGGTCATCCTGTGTCCTTGTTTCAGTATTTTGTTATTATCACATTTTCTTGACCCATTCATCTACTGAAGGACATACAACATTCTTCTTTAACACACTTGCTCAAATGCAGCAATGAACTCATCCTCATCTAGTCCTGGCTTTTTCTTTGTTGAGAACATCATTTCTGCTGCATTGTGCCGATTGAGCATTTCAGGCCTATAGAAGTTGTTCATATATTATTGGGTCAATTGTGATTGGGTATATGTATTTAGACATTTATCCATTCACTCTAGATTTTTTCAGTGTATTGGTATATAGGTTTTCAAATTTTCAAATAAAAGTTCCAATTCTTATTTGGATATCAGTAGTCTCTGAACCAACATTCTTCTTTGGTCTTCATTTTATTAATTTTGTCTTTGATTTCTTTGCATTAATTTCCTCACAGTTTATCAGTCTTGCTTATTGGTGAGAAACTCTGGTTTGCTTTACTGAGTCATTGTAATATTCTTTTAGTCTGTAGTGTAAGAATCCACATAAAATGGCAAAAAGAAAAAAGTCTACAGGATACGTTGTAGAAAATTCTCTTTCCTATAATTTGGAGTAATTCTACTATCAGCCACACTTAAGGAATTATATTGTGATTTAAATTGGCCATGTCAACTTTAAACAAATGGCAATAATTTCCTCATATCCTAATTAATGTATCATCTTCAAATTCCAGATGGGGCCTAATTAAATCTTCGGGGGATGAGTTACACATTTCTTCCTTGCTGTATGGGGTAAATCTCAAAGGGCTGTTGAGGAGATGTATTTAGAGAGTCAAACAAAGGTAGTCCCAAAAGCCGGAATGCAGGA